TTTTGCACCATGCTTGTTCCTTATGTACTGCCCATTGTGTGTTGTGCAATGCCTCATTATATGACATCCGCTGGTAGAGTCTGATCCGATCTAATGACCTGACTTTGCTCTTCCTGTGCGGCAGGGTGAAGCAACTTACGGACGAGGAAGAGTGCTGCATCTGCATGGACGGCCGCGCTGATCTCATCCTGCCCTGCACTCACACCTTCTGCCAGAAATGTATTGACAAATGGTGAGGCGCCCTGTCATGTGACCCGCTGGAATGGGCGGAATTCTCCTTATATTACACGCATCGTAGAAATCGGGGGCCCTTAAAAGTCCTCTTTGGCTCTGAGCAGAGATGAATGATTGTTTTCTGACTTCAGCCTTAGTGTGCCTGTAATCCATTAACCCTCTGCGCTCTGCTGCGAACATGACTATCTGGGATATCTGATCGCTGCATATGGCGGCCAGCGGGGTGATGTACATGGCTTCCAGAAAACATCACAGCACCCTGCCTCAATGCTGCTCTCCAGAGTCCTCAGCCCTGAACCAAGCAGCGGGTGAGCTCTTGGGAGGAGTTATGTAAATACATAGATGGGTGGATGTGTATCACCAAGGCAGTTTTTGGCCCGTTCTCACAGCAGGTGCTCTGCCCGGGGTGACTACAAACCACAAAGCGTCAGTCACTTTTAACCACTTGAAGTCCGGGGGTGTTACACCCCCTTCCTGTCCCGGCCATTTTTCAGTATTCAGTGCTGCGGTACTTTGACTGACATTGATTCCGTCATGCAACACTGTACTGAAATTAATTTTATACCATTTTTTAGGGACAGATAGAGCTTTCTTTTGGTGGTATTTAATCACCGCTGGGGGGGTTATTTTTTAATATATTAAGGAAACATTACCGAAAAAAACCCACAAGAAACTGTTTCCCCTATATTACATTAATAAAACATTTATTATTACCCAATTTTTTGCTAAAATATAAGAGGCGGGGTCACGTCGGGTAAATAGACACCAAACACGTCAAGCCTTAAAATTGCGCGCGCGAAACCTCAAAAAACTACAATACCCAAAATTGGTCATAGGCGACGCTTTACAAGCTTTTACCGCTCATCAGGTTAGTGTTATCAGTGATTGATGGCCCTAAAATGATTGCTCTCACTGCGACGATATGTAACATGTGTGTAGCGCAATTGTCGTTTTCGCACGCTGGTTCTTCGAGCACGTATTTACGTATTTACGTTTATATGTGTGTAAATGTGGGGAACTTAAAAATTTGGGGGGAGTTTTTTTTTTAACTTTTTGATTTTTTTTTAAACTTATTGTTATTGCTATCACATAGGGGGATAACAATCCCCCCTATATAATAGCAAAGGCACACTGACAGGTCCTCTTTATGGAGACATTAGGGGTCTCTAAGACCCCTAATGTCACCTGGGGACCCCAAAAGAAGCTGATGAAGCAGAGATCTGCTTCATCAGCTTCTTCTCTCTGGCTATAGCAGCCAGATGACTGACAGGTGAATGCGGAAGTGATGATTTACACATCACTTCCGCATTCACAGTACGGAGGGAGATCAGCAAGGAGGAAGATGCTGATCTCCCTCCCATTTTACCTCCTGACGACCTCCCGAGACGATCCTAGGCTAGTGGAGCCCGGGATTGAAGGTGAGGGGGTCAGGAGGTGGGGACGGCAGCGGCGGCACTCGAGGGGGGGAGGGGAGGCGAGCAAAGACAGCACATACAATCGGCAGGTTATAGAGCCGCCGATCGCATGTATATCACACATCCGGTAACGTGCGAGTCCGCCGTCTATCCGTTTTTTTCTCAGCGGGCGGACGGCAAGAGGTTAATATATCAATCAAAGCCCATAGGCCTAATAAAGACTTATTTCCCTAATCAGAACCTCTTCTTCAACAGGAGCGATCGGAACCGCAACTGCCCAATCTGCCGCCTGCAGGTGACCGAAGTGAACGACTCCTGGGTGGTGTCTGAAGCCCCGACTAAAGAAGACGTGGCCAAATACATCCTGAACCTGGCGGACGAGGTCGGGCAGCCCAACGACGCCTTGTTCTGACCGCCCACGCGGACTTTTCCCAGCGATAGCCAAGGGCTCGTCCAGGCGAGTATTGAGCGCTTCCTCTGCTCGGCCTTTCCTGCGCCAATGACGTTCATCTGCGGGTGAACGGAGCTCTCCTTCACACACGGCGCCGGCAAGGACACGCTTAGACATTAGCCGCCGGATAAAGGAATTCCTTGCCGTCTCCGAAAGCATCTCCATTAATTTCATGCGGCGGGGCAAGCGGCCTCTGACATGACACTACTGCTATACTACGGTGTGTGTGTGTGTGTGTGTGTGTGTGTGTGTGTGTGTGTGTGTGTGTGTGTGTGTGTGTGTGTGTGTGTTGATGGTGGAGCGGACTGAAAGAGAGAACACGACCTCCGCTGCTCATCCCAATTGTGCTAATGTCATGTAAAGGACTACTCCGCCTGGAACTGATTGCTTTCAGGCAGGCAGGGGTACATTGAATCTCCCGTCTGCTTCTTTTTATATCTCTCAGTGTTAGGATTTCAGCGCACTTGTTGGAGTCTCCGCCTCCTCTCGCACGTCCCTAATGATGGCGTCACCCTTTTATTGCACGTTTCGTATATAATACAGGAAAGCGTGACGCCATCTTTTCGGCTCTGTAATGCTCGTGGCAGATGAACTGGGACATTTACTGGTGACTTACCTAAGAGATATAGGAAGTATTATGTGGGACTTGCTAATCGGTTTTAGATGGAGGTGACCTTCAATCGGTTCCTCACCCAGAATTTTAAGCTTCATATTACTGCTCGGAAGGGAACGTCTCTTCATAGATCACAGCATTGCCCACAAGTGACCGCACCTCATCTTGGCTGCGGAGGATTGTGAGCCCGGGCTGGCACAGTGCGACTGGCTGACCTCTGGCACGCTGCCTCCATTGCCGGCACAGTGCTGTTGGCTGATCTTTGGCACCCCGCCCCGTGGGCAGCACAGTTTAGTCGGCAGACATGTGCCACTTTGCTTCCCTTGCCGGCGCAGTGTGATTGACTAACCTTTGGCACACCCTCTCTGGCCGGCATGGTGAGATTGGCTGACCATTGGCAGACCATTGGCACAACACCAACCCCACCTGGGTTGGTGCAGTGAGATTGGCTGACCTCTGGCATACTGCCTCCATTGCCAGCACAGTGCGGTTGGCTGATCTTTGGCACTTCGCCCCCTGGTTGGCACAGTTCAGTCGGCAGACATGGGGCAGTTTGCTTCCCTGGCCGGCACAGTGTGATTGACTAAGCTTTGGCACACCATCTCTCTGGCCGGCATAGTGCGATTGGCTGTCCTCTGGTACACCACTTCCTCAGGTGGCATAGTGGGATTGTCTGTCCTTTTGGCAAAAGACCCACCGTGCCTGGGTTGGCACAGAGCGATGGGCTGACCCTTCCCCGTGAGTGGCACAGTTCAGTTGCCAGGCAAAAGGGGAACTTTGCCTTCTTGCCTGGCACAGTGTGATTGGCCAACCTTTGGCACACCCTCTCTCTAGCCGTCATAGTGCGATTGGCTGTCCTGTGGTACACCACTTCCCTGGCCGCCATAGTGGGATTGGCTGTACTGTGGGGCACCTCTTACCTGGATAGCGCAGTGTGATTGGCTGACCTTTGGCACCCCGCCCCCTGGGTGGCACAGTTCTGTTTGCAGACACTTTGCCTCCCTGGCCAGCACAGTGGGATTGGCTAACCTTTTGGCACACCATGTCTCTGTCTGGCACAGTGCAATTGACTGACCTTTTGGCACAACATTAGCCCCGCCTGGGTTGGCGCAGTGAGATTGGCTGAGCTCTGGCACACTGCCTCCAGTGTGGTTTCCCCGGAGTACAGGTTAACATTTCGGCAGGGCCGGTGCTAGGATTTTTGCCTACATAGGCAAAGTTGCATTTTTGTGCCACGGACCCCTTGTAGCGCTGGGCCTGCTCCCTATCAGCATGTTTTTTTCCCTTCACTTACCTTCGGTGCGGGAGAGCAGCGGCGAGTCAGCGCTGGTCCGGTGGGAGGAGCTCCAGGTGGGGTCCTAATTTAGCTGGCCGGCGACTGCCAGAGGTGCCGCGCGTGTCGGGATCCTCTGGCAGTCGCCGGCCAGCTAAATTAGGACCCCCACCTGGAGCTCCTCCCACCGGACCAGCGCTGACTCGCCGCTGCTCTCCCGCACCGAAGGTAAGTGAAAAAAACAAAACATAGCGCAAGCATCGGGGCATTTTGACAAGCCCTCACCCTGCAGCGCCCTCAGGCGGCCGCTTGCCTTGCGGTAGCGCCGGGCCTGCATTTCGGATAAGCAGTTTGCATTCTGTATATAGGTTTTTATGCCTCTTCTTTTCCTCCAGAAGCAGTGTCCTAGGTTTCAGTCCTGTGGTCACGTAAAGCTGAACTTCGGGCAAATAGCTAAATACAGATATGGGAGCTGATTTACCTGGCAAAGGATTTGTATTTCTGTCCATCCAGTCCTGATCTATATACAGCTCTGTCACGCAGCACCGCCTCGCTCCAACCAGCTGCTGATGAACTCTGTGCTTCAACCTAAAGGTGGTCAAAGTACCATATATACCGAATTCTCCATCCAGTCCAGGTTATGTGCATTGTTTCCCTATCTCTAAGCCCTGATGAAGGGGGCGACTACTGCCCCTAGAAACGCGTTGGCTCTGTTTGATCTTCCATTGGAATACATATGTATCCAGCTGCTCCAGCCTCAGATTCTCTGAACACTACAAACCAAGAAAATTGTGCTAATCTTTTGGCGTGTAGAAGCTGCCAACTCAGAATTCTGAAACCTCTACAACCTATTGCATGGGAGGGGCAAAGCAGAGCTCAGCCTACCAGTAAAGATGTGTGGGAGGAGCAAAGCTGAGCTCAGCCTTCTAGTAAGAATGTATGGGAGGGGCAAAGCTGAGCTCAGCCTACCAGTAAAGATGCATGGGAGGGGCAAAGCTGAGCTCAAGTTACCACTAAGGATATGTGGGAGGGCAAAACTGAGCTCAGCCTTCCTGTAAGAATGCATGGGAGGGGCAAAGCTGAGTTGAACCTACCAGTAAGGATGCATGGGAGGGGCAAAACTGAGCGCAACTTACCAAAAGGATGCATGGGAGGGACAAAGCTGAGCTCAGCCTACCAGTAAGGATGCATGGGAGGGGCAAAGCAGAGCTCAGCCTACTAGTAAGGATACATGGGAGGGGCAAAGCAGAGCTCAGCCTACCAGTAAGGATGCATGGGAGGGGCAAAGCTGAGCTCAGCCTACCAGTGAGGATACATGGGAGGGGCAAAGCTGAGTTCAGGCTTACCAGTAAGGATGCATGGGAGGGGCAAAGCTGAGTTGAACCTACCAGTAAGGATGCATGGGAGGGGCAAAGCTGAGCTCAGCCTACCAGTAAGGATGCATGGGAGGGGCAAAGCAGAGCTGACACTGTCTGAGGTCTATATGTGTGTTGCTGTATCAGCTTTAAGTGTTACTTTGTTGCTTACGTTCCCCACACGTTACAATCTGATTGTACAATCTCCATCCGTTCCATGTAGTGCGAGGGCCGGCCTCATGGGATACAGATTGATTGGGTATCGGTCCTCATATTGGTAAATATGGTTCCCGCCAAGTCTTATGTGTCACATGACTGCCAGATCCCCCTCCGCACTGGATCTGGCAGGACGGCATTGGTGGAGTCTGTAGCGGCTCGCTTGTCTGCTCGGAAGTCCCATTTCCTTTGTGTGGTTATAACCGGGCCGGATCCTTATTCTTCTTTTCAGTTTACTCATCTTTGCCTCAGGCCCAGTCCATTATCCAGCAGGGAAGTCTCACTCCTTCTGCAGCATTCTCTATTAAGTAGACTGCACAGGCAGCACTGATCGCTGTGGCCGCAAAGAGTGGGCGGAGCTGGGAACTCGGACTCTGGAAGCCCAGACACAAATCAATGGGGTGACTCCGCCCACAAGTACCCACCCACCCGAACTTGTAATGTCACTTTTGAGCGGACTGACCTGTTTCTTTTATGTGATGTGATTGGGCGATCGTTTAGGGAGAGTTCTCATGAGCAATAAACTGAATATTTATTATTTTATTTCTATGCGGTATAGATATAATTTTATGTTCTCTAGCGGCGATATGTAGCACGCAATTACAGTGTAATGACCACTTTGTACCAAAAATCAATGTATAATAAATAGTAGCGAGCCGACTCTCCGGTGTAAGTCGGTGTTTCCGGGGGAAATGTGTGTCTGTGTCTGTAGATGTTTTTGGTAAAATGTGCAACTAAGTTTCATGACTTGGAAGCAGAATTGATGTTTTTTTTTAAGTTGAATTCCTTCAGAATAAGTAAATACTCAATACAAGAGTCATGTGTGTTCTTCCTGAATCTTGGGGAGCTTTGTGTATTCTTCCGGATCTGGGCAGTGATCCAATGTGAGACTTGGAGCTTCCTGTAATAAAGACCGCTCACTGCTGCTCTCTCCTTGTGCAGGGTGATTGGTCTTGTCTCCGCCCCCTCCTGTAATAAAGGCCGCTCACTGCTGCTCTCTCCTTGTGCAGGGTGACTGGTCTTGTCTCCGCCCCCTCCTGTAATAAAGACCGCTCACTGCTGCTCTCAGTCCTTGTGCAGGGTGACTGGTCTTGTCTCCGCCCCCTCCTGTAATAAAGGCCGCTCACTGCTGCTCTCCCTCCTTGCGCAGAGTGACTGGTCTGGTGTCCGCCTCCTGTATTTTTCTTCAGGCAGCCTGAAGTAGGTGGGACCTGCCGGGTCCCTCCCACAACTCTGCTCTCTGTACAGCACAGTGATGTCACTGCTATTTTTACAAGGTAATGTTGGGGTTTGCATTTAGCACACAAAGTGCATTTATATCTTTTGCAGCTATTTAAGTTATGTATTTAGATGAAAGTATTTTTTGTGATATAAGAACTACTGAAACACTACTGACCTGCGTCACATGCGTCCTTCATGTATACAATGTGCAGTCTGTACACTGATCTTCCTATGGATAGCACTGTAATGCTTAATAAAGTTTTGCTTCTCACTACTTTCAACAAGTGTCTGTATTATACGTGTGACGGGCCCCATAGAAGTGTCTGTATTATACGTGTGACGGGCCCCATAGAAGTGTCTGTATTATACGTGTGACGGGCCCCATAGAAGTGTCTGTATTATACGTGTGACGGGCCCCATAGAAGTGTCTGTATTATACGTGTGACGGGCCCCATAGAAGTGTCTGTATACGTGTGACGGGCCCCATAGAAGTGTCTGTATACGTGTCATGTCATTACTCGCCACCCGGCTTCCTGATTGCTCTATGCCAGGAGAAGCATCGGTATAGGTATCGGTATCACCGAGTACCTAAAGCAGAATATCGGTACTCCATACTGAAAGAACGGTACCGGTGCTTCCCTCCTAAACATGCATCCAGAAATAAGGTTGTAGAAGCACTTGCTCTAGAAGTATGAATAGATTGCACTTGTATGGGTCCCCACTGTTGGCTGCTGACTCCAAGCCTGGCATATCTCCGGGGCAGGCTGTAGAGTGCCCACCGCTCCGGGTCAGCAGGTAAAGCCAAGTGGGAATTTGGCCCCTCCTTCTCGGGGCTGGCCGCAGTCATCTGTGCGGGTCTGGGGGTCCCATGAGACTCCACAAGAGAAAAGGAATCCGGAGGTAAGTGCTCCGATTAGCATCGATGGGTTAATAAGTAAATGCAATAAAAAAAACCAGTGTTGGGCTGGTTTGGGTATTTCTGTAACTGGTGATCTCCGGAGGATTTCGCAGGCTGTAGAGCGAGCTCACAACGGTGCGAAAGGCAGAACAGCCGGTGAGCCGGCACCACACTGAGGAGAGAGGTCGGAGGAGAAGGGCCAGGCTGGTTGGAGCTGTCGGAAAGGGTCCAGTATCTCGGATATCTACAGTGAGCAGGAACACATCTCAGAATGGACAAGTAGACAACATCAATGGACAAAATGACAATAGACAACATGAAACAAGTGAGAGGGGGTTGGGCTGGTTTGAGTATTTCTAGAACCGCTGAGCTCCCGGGAAATGTCTTATTGATGAGGGAGGTCGGAGAACGGCCAGATTGGTTGGAGCGGACACAAAAGGGGTTGATTTACTAACCTTAGAAACACACCACGAACGTGTATACACCTCTGTAGTGTGTTCCCTCCCAGCATGATCTATTGGTGGAATCTAAACACCTTTGTAGTGTGTACACACCCAGCAGGTGTGTTGTGCAAAGCCCTGCATGAATTGCAAGGTGATGTTGTGTAAATTAGCTCTATGCTGTGTTGCTTGCGTTGATGAATGCAGGAATGTAAATGCATGAGCTAACCATTTTTGTCTAAACTGTGAAGCAGCATTATATATGCATCATGTGCATGATTTTTCTATATATGGCATTAGTGGAAATATGCTTTTAGAAACTTTTTGGTTGATAAATACGTTTTGCTGTGTAAAAATCACAAGCACCTGGTGCATGCATGTGTTTAGGTTAGTAAATCAACCCCAAAGGCTCCGGTATCTCGGTATGATGACCACTCTACCTCTATGCTGAGCAGAAAAGCATCTCCGAGTGGACAACATGCCAAGCCTGAAGGCAGATGGGCTGCAACAGCAGAAGACCACGTTGGGTTCCACTTATCAGCCAAGAACTGGAAGCTGAGGCTGCAGCGGGTACAGATTCACCAAAACCATACAGATCAATACTGGAAAACTTGATCAATGAGATACACAGACGGTGAGCTGATCACCAGATTAATAGAACACCTTCGGAACATAATGGAACATTCACAAAATAAAAGTGCAGAACAAATAGGGCCACATTATGGCCACTAGATGGAGCCGAAGAGCGTAGGATTTCTGATGCTCCTCAGCTCCATCTAGTGGCCATAATGTGTAGTGAATGTAAGGGTCACATGCTCCCAGAGAGAGAAATGTAGGAGTTATGTACCCCCCCCCACCAAAAAAAAAAAAAACAAGCAGACACAATATCACATAACGGCACTTTTATTCTACATAATACATACAAAAAAAAAGGTCATTGGCAAAATAAGGTGAATGATAGCAGTGGCCAGTAAACAGTTAATCTGCCAAAAAGCCGTATATTTCCCTTTTATGTGGATTCTGATGGCCCGAGTTGTCCCATTATTTTCATTGGGGGCTCCAGTCTCCCGGGCTCTGTGGCTGCTCACACTGGGGTGTTGCCTGTTTCCTCCTAATATTAATTCTAAGATCCAGCAGAAACTGTGGGGAACCATCATAGTGGGCCCAGCAGGTGTACAGACCTGGGAACCCAACACAGTGACAATGGGAACTCCTCTAAAAGGAGAACTATGAGGGGGGAGTGCTTTTCACTCACCTCATAGTTGTAGTCGACCTGTGACAATGAGACTCACAGGTCGGCTCAGTAGATCGGGAGCTGAGCGAACACATAACAGCTCTCTGCCGTGACAGGGGAGGGGCTGGATTCCCCCCTCCCCGCCAGAGCTGACTGGCTGAACGGACGAGGGAGGGGGCGGGTACAGCTGGCTCTGCCTCTAGATAAGCAGAGCCAGCTGTCAGTCATGCAGCTGGGCGGATCCCGGCACAATTGTCGGGATCCGCTGCGGCGCGGTATACTGAGCCGAGGGTGACGGGAGGACGCTAGTTTGTTACCCTAAGGAGAACTATGGGGAAAAGCCCTAACCCCATAGTTCTCCTTTAATAGACTCAGCAGGTATGTAGACCTGAGAACTCTGTACTGGGATGGTGGGAATCCTCAAAATGGGCACAGCAGGTGCGCAGACCCGGGAACCCAGCACATGGACGATGGGAACGCCTAATGGGCTCAGCAGGGGTGCAGACCCAGGAACTCAGCTCAGGGATGCTGTGAGCCCCCCATAATGCATAGCAGATGTACAGACCTGGGAGCTCTGTACTGGGATGGTGGGAATCCTCATAATGGACAAAGTAGGCATGACGGAATTCAGGCCAAGGATGGTGAGAGCCCCTCATAATGGGCACAGCAGGTGTACAGACCACTAAAACAAACTAGGTGCTGGAGAGTAACCCCACCCAACACTACACCCTCTCCTGCAGTAGACCGACCCTTTAAAAAGTCAACAAACCCAACAAGTTTCCATCAGTGGCCACAATGGTAATAGTACACGGCATCAAAACACTGAAATGAACAAACTGGATTCAGACATATAAAGCAAAGATGCATCCCAATGTGACAACGCGGTGCGTGGGCAGAATGAAGGTACGTGTAATATATGATCGCAGACCCTTGTACATCTAGAGAGATTAATGTGGCAGTGCCTCCTAAAACACAATCCTCAGCCCTCAGCCACACCGATCAATATCCAGTGTTCAGCTCATGGCTTGGCATTCTCAGCAATGGCTCGCTATACCCCAGGGTCTAGTACAGGGGGTAGGCAACCTACTACTAATTCCATCACGCCTGTGGCTGTCAGAGCCTTGCAATGCCTCATGGGGCTTGTAGTTCCAAAACAGCTGGAGCGTCGCGATTGCCTACCCCTGGAAGCATTTAAGCAGCAGAACATTGAATGAGTATATCCCTGTTTAGGCAATGGCGGAGTTTGTACATATATGATAAGCTATGGGAGTCCGAGACCACCTAAAATCTGACCGTTGCTGCCTGTTCACTCCCTGACCAGACGCGTGGTCCCCTAGCTCCTGAGTGTGCACCGTATCACATAGCAGAGCCTACTAGTAATGAAGACAGTAAACTGCAGCGATCTGTTATGCACACCAAGATGCCGGGGGGCAGGGTGTGGGTCAGACATCTAACGGATTTTACAGATATATCAAATCCGGAATTTCAGATTGGCGAGATATGCTTTATGCGGATCATGTGAACATGATACACGTATATGTAGAAAACAGCATTAAAAATAAAATTGTTTTCCTGCTACCGTTCATCCCGGAACATTCTAGAACATCTAAGACAAAGAAAAAAAATTAGACATCACCCAAAATTACATCAAGCACCTACGACTCGTGTCTTGTATTTGTTTCCCTTTAACAAAGCAAATGCAATCCCCTG